TGTTCTGGCAAAAGATGATTTTTTATTTTAAATATAAAATTAAGAACCAAATATGATATGAATTTTTTTATATTCAGCCACTGCAATTCTTGTAACATAGATTTTATTTTGGTGTACATATTTTTATTCAATATTATTCTCATAGCTTTATTTTGCAAGACTTGTAATTTTGAGAATACAGCTTCATTGGCAGTGAACAAGATAGTTGAACAATGCGGTAGAATAATATAAAAGTAATTTGTTTTTTTTGTCAATTTTTGAAATAATGTATTCATAGTGATCCTCAAACTTTAGTTTACTATCAATATATGTACCTAAATATTTAACTGATTCAACGTTTTCAATATTATTACTCCATTTATCCTAACTGTGATAGTATTTTCATTTATTATTATTAGCATACATTTTGTTTTAGAAGTATTCAATTTTAGTTTATTTACATTTAACCAATTTATGATTTTTGATAAGTCAGAATTTAGCATTTTTAAAGCAGTGTCTTATTAATGTATCATCTGCAAATATCTGACGTTTACAATTATCTAAAATATCACAAATGTCATTAAATTATAAAATAAATAGTAGTGGACCTAGTTTGTGTGGTATACCAACAGAAATATTTTTTGATCTTGATGATGTCGATCCAATTTTGTTTTTTTGACTTCTGTCAATTAAATAGTTTTGTAAAATCAAAAAAAAGGCTGCAGTCAGGGAATTTAATGAAATTTTATTAGAACATTATATTTATACTGTACAATAAATAACTCTTAACCTTAGCAGTAATCTTAACTATTTCTAACGTTGTACCTGATAAAGAGTTATACTTCAAACTAAAGCAATAAATAATAATTGCAAATACACAAAAGATTGTCTTATATGTGATCCAACAAAAAATTTTCCAATTTTTATTATTCGTAACATTCGTTTTGTTCTTTATATAATATTAATTTTACTATAAAGCGTACGTCACAATCAAGCAGTAAATCTCGCCATTTTTTTAAATGCTACATGCGGTTTTATTTATTACAGTATATTCAGATAAGAGATAGACCGGATGTAAACAAAAGGTTCGGGTGATTTTCACGCTAACGCCGCCGTCTCGACGTAAAACAGGAGCCCTCATTGGTCAATTCGCAATTAAATGCCTATGCCGAGCGGCAGAGCAGTCGTATCAAGGCAGAGTCACATTCAGGTTCAGACGTGTTAGGTATGTCGTGTGCATCATTGCAATTTGATATTTCTTTGGACGTTTTCGTTTGTTATCTTATTAAGTTGTCGAGTTTGTCGTTGTTATTGTTATACCTTGTTATTGATTGTTATTGTTATCAACTGCTTGCGCAAAATGCCCAGTAGTACAGATACTGCCGATGAAGTTGTAAACTCCTGTAGTCCACCTAGGAAACGCTCTAAAAAAAGACACCTGAGTGCAGAAATGAAAGAGGTCATTTTGAATATATATAAGATCGAGCGCGAGGAGAACGAGGCATCAACCATCAAAGAAATTGTTGTGAAGGTTTCTCACAAAGTTGGGGTGTGTCGCGCATCAGTGTTTAATGTGTTAAGACAATACAAAAAAAAGCACACCTTTTCTGAGCCAATGACCAGTAAACATCGCAAAAGTATTGTTAAATCATTGGATGAAGCTGATAAGCATGCGATTAGGAGGAAAGTGCATGAATTCTTCTTTAGGAATGAAATACCTACTATAGATAAAGTACTGCAGGAGGTAAATGGAGATACAACGTTGCCAAATTTCAAACGATCAACTTTCCATGCGTTACTGAAGCATTTAAATTTCAAATGGAAAAAACGGGGTCGTAATAGTTTACTACTGGATAGAGAAGAAATTGTGCTATGGAGGAGGGATTATTTAACAAAAATTGGGAAATATCGAAATCAAAACAGGAAGATTTATTACCTTGATGAAACGTGGGTAAACGCAGGACACACTACAAGTAAAGTATGGGTTGATGATTCTGTAACTTCATCCAGGAGGGCCTTTCTAGATGGACTGTCCACCGGATTAAAAAATCCAGCAGGTAAATACGAGTAATAGACAACAATCGTATGTTTTTAAAACCTTGGAAACAAGGTTCTAAACATTAATTCCAGGGGGCAGATAAAACATATTACAAGTAACAAAACTTTTAAAACTTTCGATAAAATGCGTGGATGTTTTATTGTCATTTTCATTTGTTAGAACTTTTTTAAGCCATGTTTTTATGTGTTTTCGATATTTCAATAATTTTTTAATATAATCTTAAAATATGTCGAATATTATAAAATTAAAAAAAGTTACTAAGTTTTATATTGTGTACCGTTCCTAATATTTCTAATCATTTTAATTCATACTTTAAGCTTTATAAAGTTATAATTTGTTAATATTAATATTTGCGCGTATTTCAGGTTCCTGATCATTCATTTTTTAAAGGTTTATAACTTTAAATTAAATTGTGAAGCGCTGAGTAATCATACGACGTTCAATATTCTTTCTTTCAATATGACTAAATAATCCCAATTATAGCAATCTGATACTCATGTCTCAATGTTTTTTCGCTGAATGTGATGAAAACATTTGAAAAAGGTTCGCTTATTGAAATAAATCTACACCAGTTAGTACTTCGATTTCCAGGTAAAGGGAAAAGGCTCATTATCTGCCATATTAGCTGTGAGGATGGATTTGTTGTTGACGGTCTGTGGTGCTTTGAGTCTAAGAAAACTGGAGATTACCACGAGGAAATGAATGGCGAATCGTTTGAACAGTGGTTTTCCAAAATTTTACCGAACTTAGAGGAAAACGCAGTAATTGTGTTGGATAATGCGCCTTATCATTCTCGAAGAATGGAGAAGGTCCCAACAACGGCTTCAAGGAAAGTTGATGTTCAAAATTGGCTCCGCTCGAAAAATATCAACTTTGAAGAAGCAATGCTGAAAGTACAATTATTAAGAATTGTCAAGGATCACAAGGCGAAATATCAAAAATACGCCATTGACGAAATGGCAGCAAGTCAAAATAAAACTGTGCTCCGTTTACCTCCATACCATTGCGAGCTCAACCCCATTGAGCTCATATGGGCAGAGGTTAAAAATTATATAGCTAAGCACAATACAACTTTTAAATTTTGTGACCTCAAAGGACTTTTCAAAGAAGCACTAGAATTAATAACAGCGCAAAAATGGGAAAACTGTATTAAGCACGTGAAAGACAAACTTGAAAAGAGAATGTGGGAACTGGACAATATTTTAGAGGAACAAGTCGAGCCATTCATTATTGACGTTAGTGCTTCAGGCAGTAGCGATGATGAAAGCTCATCAAGCTCATCTTTCCAATAAAAGATGTCGTTCATCATATTCGGTAAGTTATAAGTAATTATAAAGCTACTGTATTTTTTAATTAATTATTGACATTTTTGAACCCATTTTGGCAAAACCTATTCAAGAATCTACCATGCACATTTTTTTACGTTTTGAACGTTTTAATTTGGTTACATATTTACCTAGAAATCAAAAAATATACTAATCAATATTCTAAAAGCAATTTTAAGAGATATACGATTATTTTTAATTTAGGCTAATTTAAACGCCATTTTGAGATTATATTCGACTGTATTTCACCAAACATCAGGCGGCATCCGAAGCTGGAAATCGAAGCGAAAATTTTGAAACCCTTATGTATATTTACATCATTATATATTTCTTACCCCACCTCCACATGATCCTATATCCATTACCAATCGTATACACATCGAATTGTGCTAATTTACTACAAAGTTACGCAAAGCAGCATCTACTATCTAAAATATGTACTGCGTGACTCTTAATACGTCCCTGCCGAATGTTACAGCGTTCGATGATCACGTGGTCTTGTTTATGTCCGGTCTATCTCTTATCTGAATATACTGTAGTTCATTTGATATCTGTGTTCAACTAACCGATATTCAAAAATACCGCGTGGAATGGTAACTTACTATATATAATTATATTATATCACATTCAGAATAAGGTATAACAAATTTGGTACAGTTATTTTAGTTCGATTGTTCTATACGAAGCATATTGTCATTAATTGAATTATATTGATTTATATCAATGCACGTATAATACATATCAAATAATACTGTCAGTATATCAATATCAATTTTATTTAGACATATGTGATAAATACTTCTTGATTTGTACCATCAAAATACCTCGGAGTCCGTACCTGCCCAGTTTAGCTCAGCAGCTACTGATCTGTGCTCCGTAAATCTATAGGATTTTATAGTGAATTTAGTTAATTTTTCGTTTCGATTTCTACGTAGACATTAACAGCTAGCATCAGACTGTAAGTACTGCATTACAGAATCCTGAAATAATTTGTTTTCAACATAAAGTACGTGCATAAACAAATCGCTACAAACTAGAACCATCCGTTTGCTACGAAATTCCAAGGAATTCCACGTCTGTTCACAGTCGGGGACAGGTCCGTACTGGAAATGGTGCAAGGAAGGTTTGAGTCAGAAGAATACGTATACTAATAATATGGAAGGCGTTAATATTCCTACAGAAACTCAAAACAGCAACTCACCACTAAATTACTCCCGAGCTCTCAACCGCCAGATATCCAAATACCCTAACAAGGAGCAGGCTATAATATTTAATACAATAGATGGAGCCCGAATACAAGATTATATCATCGAATTAGGTCCTCTAGTTGAGCCAAAAAATATCATATTCTGTTCTAGAGTAGCAAATAACAGAATATGTGTTTACTTATCCAGCAAAAACGCAGTCGATGCATTTTTGGACAACCATGGGAAAATCGTTGTTCATGGTGAAACTATTAAGGCGAGGAGATTAGTCACACCATCGGATCGTTTGGTCATATCAAATGTGTCCCCTACTATTCCACACAATATTATTCAAAACTGCTTGGAGCAGTTAGGTCTCCAGTTACAATCTCCCATGTCATTCCTAAGGATTGGGGCCACTATTCCAGAGTATAGTCATATACTCAGCTTCAGACGTCAAGTATACATAGCTCCCACCGAAAGTGCCATACCAGAATCCTTGGTGATTAGTCATGAAGGGTTGTCATATCGCATATTCTTATCATTGGACAGCCAAAAATGTTTCAAGTGCAACCAATCAGGACACATAGCCAACAATTGCAGATCTACACCCCAACCATCGACCTCAAACATGGATGATACCGTCCTTCCCTCATCCTCAGTAAAACCCAATAATAACATGTCTAGCAGTATTCAACTGGAACCCACTATCACACAGGCAGCCGAAGTTCGACAGACACAACTGCCAATCTTAACTGAAGAATCTCCTAACAGACAGACCATATCCACTCCACAACCAATATTGAGTCAAAGCAAAGAACTTAACATAGAAATGCCACCTACTCCATCCGTAGCAACCACCGACGATGCCAGCAACACAGGCAAAAGAAGTTTTTCAACAATTGTTACCCCAACATCAGATTTTGAAACCTCATCAACTCCAACCTCCGGACCGACCTTTATAAAGCCAGCTAAAGCATCAGTGAAAAAACCAAAAATAGACTCCCAGCAAGCAGTTATTTCAGATCAAGCCTACGAACCAGCCAAACGTTTTATAGATACAAACCAAGACCTTTTAGTATTAAATTCTATCCAGATGAAAAGTCTCTTAGAAAATGTGCACGGAACCCAGAACGTTATATCAGTAGTAAACGAATACACCGTAGATATAAAAAGCTTGATTGAAACAATACTGCTCATATACCCTCATTTATCGGACCGAGCCCTGAAGAACAGGTTAACCAGGTTGCGCAAAAAACTAGAACGGCACATCGAAAATGACAATATCGACAGCGAAACCTCTTCTGTAGATTCTAGTTTCTTTTAATAATTTACAATGGCGTTCAAATCCATATTGCAGTGGAATCTAAATGGTTACTACCCACGCTTAAACATGCTACGTAAACTTATATCTGACTTTGCACCTGATATCATATGTCTTCAGGAAACTCACTTCCATGAATCTAAAACAAATTCACCTAAAGGATATAATGGATTTTTCAAAAATCACAATAGTGCAACAGCCAGTGGAGGAGTAGCTATTTACGTAAGTTGCGACACTCCTGCTAACCCACTTAATCTTACCACCAATCTGGAAGCGATTGCAGTAACTTTGGATGCTCCTGAAAAGCTAACTATCTGTAACGTATACATTCCACCGAATTACCACATAGATGACCAAGAACTAGAATCACTTTTGCAACAAATACCTTCCCCAAGGATAGTTCTAGGTGACTTCAATGCACATAACTACACATGGGGCTCATTCAAAAATGACTCAAGGGGAAACCTAGTAAACGACCTACTAGATTCATTTGGCTTAGCTTTACTGAATGACGGCAATAGTACCAGATTTGATGCTGCTACGGGCAGATTCTCCGCTATCGATCTTAGCATATGTTCTCCCAGGCTCCTTAGCCACCTACAATGGAATACACAAGAAGACTTATATGGAAGTGACCATTTTCCAATAGTTATTACTAACTCAAAGTTCTGCAATAACAATGAGACAATGCCACCCCTTAAATGGAGATTGCAAAATGCAGACTGGAACCAATTTGCGACTCATATAGAAAATAATCTAAGACAAGAAATATTCCCCGAGGATGACATTAATTCCATAATTGAACAATTCAGCAAGGTCATCACAGATGCCGCACATCGCAGTATGGGGAAAACTAACCACATCAGGAAAAGAAATCCAGTCCCTTGGTGGAACAATGAATGCGAAGCAGCACTTCAATCCAGTAAACGAGCTATCAACAGACACAAGAGGCATAAAAATATCAACACGTTGATGGAGTTACGCAGCAGACAGGCTTATTTGAAGCTCACAACAAGAAAAAGCCAAAAATTATCATGGCAATCATACGTCAGTAGCATTACTAGCGATACACCCATTTCAAAGGTGTGGAAAAAAGTGAAAAACATATCCGGGGGCAAGACTTACTCAGCTATAAAATGTCTGAAAGAGGGAAACCGAAATGTTACAGGTAGCCAACAAATCTCAGAAGTATTGTCTAAAACGTACTATTCCCATTATAGTGTAGAGAACTATCCGGCCGGATTTCTAAGCTATAAGGCAATTTCAGAATCAAAACAAATTATAATAGAAGATGACAGTGAACCAATTAATACGCCCATATCAGAATCTGAATTTACGGAAGCACTAAACGATCTCAAAGATACGGCCCCCGGTCCCGATGACATACCAGCCATATTTTTGAAACATCTTCCGTTGTCTGCTAGGAAACTTTTACTAGATTTATTCAATAATATTTGGACCAACCATATATTCCCTGAGGTCTGGAGACAAGCCATAACTATTCCCGTGCTCAAGCCTAACAAATCTCCACAACTCCCTGAATCATATAGACCGATATCTTTAACCTGTTGTATGTGTAAGCTGCTTGAAAAGATAGTAAATCGAAGACTGTTATGGAGCTTAGAACACAGGAACCTGCTAATATCTGAACAAGCTGGATTCAGATCAAACAGAAGCACCACAGACAACATAATAGATTTGGAAACCCATATACACGAAGCCTTCTCGGACAGCCAACACTGTGTAGCAATCTATTTCGACATTAATAAAGCATTCGATACTACCTGGAAATACAATATCATCTCGAAACTTCATAAATGGGGGTACAATGGTAACATATTATCCTTTGTCTCTAACTTCCTACAAAACAGAATCTTTCAAGTACGGTCAAATGGAGTGCTATCAGAACCAAAACAGCAAACGAACGAATTACCTCAAGGCTCTGTTATTAGTCCAACCCTTTTCCTAATAGCAATCAATGATGTGTTACAAGATATTGAGAAACCTTTGCAAGCACGTCTGTACGCAGATGATATGATTGTTTATGTCAGAGGCAAGAACTTAACAACAAATATAACACTACTGCAAAAGTATCTTGACAAGCTTGATTACTGGTCCAATCAAACAGGATTTGTGTTTTCCCCAGAGAAAACCAAATGCATTATATTCTCTAGAAAACCGATTCACGAAGAACCCCCATTGAAGTTATGCAAGAAATCCTTGGAATATACCAGTGAAATCAAATTTCTTGGGGTAACCTTCGATAACAGATTAAACTGGAAGAAACACATCGCAAATGTCATTAAATCATGCCAGGCAGGAATGAATATGTTAAGATATTTATCTAATAGACATTGGGGCGCAGAAGGTAAATTGCTACTTATGATTTATAGAGCATTAATAAGATCAAAAATGGATTACGGATGTGTTGCTTACAACTCAGCTAAGCCCTCAACTCTAAAACCCCTAGATGTTTTACACAACACCGCCTTGCGATTGATCCTGGGAGCATACAGAACAACTCCAGTCGATAGCCTGTACTGCGAATCGGGAGAAGCGCCACTACATACCAGACGTCAGATACTAAGTATTTCCTACTTCAACAAGAAAATCAGCAATCTTAATATGTCGGCTCAAAAATATCTATCCACTAAAAGAAATTATAGAGATACGCTGTGGGGTACCCCTTTCCAGAATAGAATTAAAATTTACCTAAGAAAACTCAACATACAAAATCCACCATCCACACTTCCCATCTTCCCAGTAACTATTCCACCATGGACACTATACAAGCCAGCCAGTATCACAACTCTTACAAAATTCGACAAAACCAATACACCAAACGAAGTAGTAAATCAACATTTCCGAAGTATTATTGGAGAATTTACAGAAGCTCAACAATTATACACAGATGCCTCGAAGATTGGACAAAACATAGGTGCCGCTGTAGTTACTCCTTCAGGTCCAATGAAATTCAAGCTACCCGAAACAGCCTCAATACTAACTGGCGAATTGTATGCAATTAGAGAAGCTATGCAATACATCAAACTAAGCTCCAGTCGGAAGTGGGTCATCATTACCGACTCCCTTAACTCAGTTACACTGATCACAAAAATATATAACAATAATCCACTGGTCAATATTATAAAAATGGAAATACATAGCCTTGCACTCCAAAATAAAGAAGTAACCATAATATGGGTGCCATCACACAAAAATATACAGGGCAACCAAATAGCTGACGAGAACGCAAAAATGGCTGCGAACATGGACACAGTGACAAACAAGAAAGTTCCTACATCAGATGTGAAACTATTTTACCAAAATCGAACCATTGATTACTGGAACAATGCATGGCAAAATAAATCAGCCAAACTATTGAAGGTAAAACACCATCTAAGTCCATGGCAGACCATCACCTCCAATAGAAGGCAGCAGACAATCTTAAGCCGTCTTCGTCTGGGCCACACCAGATTAACACATGAATACCTAATCATGCAGCAACCGGAACCCTATTGTGTGTTTTGTGACGTGACTTTAACTGTTGAACATATTTTAGTGGAGTGCCCAATGTTAGAACATCACAGAATATCATGTAACCTTGATAAAGAACTATCAGTTATACTAGGACCAAGTAGCAATCTCACAAACCTCCTGAAATTTCTACAAAAATGCAAATATCTAAGTAAACTGTAATTTATTAAATCCGCCGCTAATGGCCAATTGGGTCGATGCGGCTTCTGTATTTACAAATAAAAAAAAAAAAAATCAAAATACCTCACTGGTTGAATGCCCCATATACCAGATCATTAAAAGTGCGTTTATAAAATGAATGACATTTAACGTATTATATATGGTCAGAAGTCCAAATTAATAAGATTGATTACTTAACCAACTAACAAAATGTACTATTTAACTTGATATACACCGTTAAGGTTTATGTGGTGTTTCCAAACCGATGCTATATTTGTACGACTACCAACACCGAAAGTTTCGACATTCATTTTTCAACACCAATATCAGAACAACCAGTGAACTATTTTTATACACAAAAATAATATGATAATCACGTTTTGTTGCAGAAGTTTTACTTTCATATGAAATATTAAGATTTATGTGCTTCACACACAACAAAACGTTATTGCTTCTGATGTTATTATCAAAACGCGAAGCTAAAAATACACATACGAGGTCTGTATATTAAGTAATGATACTGGCAACGTAGCATTAATTCGAAGACCTCGTAATTTATATTTTATCAACAACGGAACATGAATTGACAGGTTTCAAGCATGCCTTCTTTCACGACGAATTAAATTTGACCTCCTAAAACTCGTTCTTCTCTTTCTCCAATACTGCTTGACCATATCCGCTCCTTTTTCGCCAATCATGATGATCGGCGCGTTCGTGTTACCACTCACCATTTTTGGCATTATTGAGCCATCTATCACCCTAAGACCTGTGATACCATACACTTTGAGCTCTGGATCTACCACGGCATCTTTGTCCGTAGGAGGACCCATTTTGCAAGTTCCTGGAACATATTAAAGATAGAGCGGTTGTTAATTAGTATTGAAGATACCAAAGTATCATTAAACGTTATTTTAACACCTAAGGTAGTTGAGAATTGACTCAATAACAAGTAGGCATCTGCTTTACAGTCAGAATCGTCAGCCCTCTGATATTAAATATTCCACAGAAACGGCTTTCCAGTTGGTAACTGAGAATTGGAGAAGAGCCATAGACTCAGAAGAAGTTGTCATAGCAGTATTTTTGGATTTGAAGAGGGCATTTGAAACGATTGATAGAGATATTTTGTTAGGTAAATTGAAGGCATATGGTATAACAGGAAGTGTTTTAGATTGGTTTAGAAATTATTTGTCTAAAAGGATGCAAGTTACAAAAGTTAATGACTCTATTTCATCAAAAATTGAAAATAGTTTGGGTGTTCCACAGTGCAGTATCCTGGGACCACTTCTTTTTATTTTATACATAAATGATTTACCTGCCATAGTCAAAAAATGCAAAATTCAGATTTTCGCCGATGACACTATGATTTATAGAAGTACTAAAAATATTCAGTCTGGTATCTCTTATATAAATGAAGACTTGAAACTTGTCTCAAAATGGTTAGCATCTTACAGACTAAAATTAAATACAAGTAAAACGAAAGCCTTGTTAATCGGAAAAAAACAATGTACGAATGTTCAAGTGAATATTGATGGTGAAGATATTGAATTCGTAGAAAATTTTAAATACCTGGGAGTTTTTGTTGACTCTCGATTAATTTTGATATTCATTATGAAAAAGTTATAAATGAGATTAGTAGTAAAGTGGGATATTTATCGAGAGTTTCTAGATGTCTGAGTTCATATAGCAGAAGAATTATCTATAATACCATCATTCTTCCAAATTTCTTGTACTGATCGACTATTCTATATTTAGCAAATAATTCCATTTTTGAAAGCCTGCAAATTTTACAAATAAGTGCATGAGAATAATACTAAATAAATATACATACTCCAATTAGGCAAATGCTTAGCAAATTAAAATGGCTCAATGTAAAAATTTTTATCAAATATCTTATAATGATATTCATTTATAAAGTATAAAATAATATATTTCCATCAAGTCTAACTAATTTAACATCATCAAATGTCGACCATCATTTACATAATACCAGAAATAAAGATGACTTCCATTTTATGCCCAAAAAGTATAACATATGCTACAAATCTGTATTCCATCAAGGGTTGATTGAATATAATAAATTATACTCAGAGATAAAAGACCAGGAAACTTTGACAAAATTTAAAGTAAAAATGAGAAATCACTTGTTAAATCTACAATTACACTGATCAACAGCCAAAAAATATCCTAAATAAAATCAACAAAATATTACTATTTTTAATGTGCTAAAACCGGAATGAAACTTATTTTTGCACTATTAGTTCAAGTTTTAGAGATACGGTAATTATATATGTTCCTGCTGTGACAGTGTTAATATACTGTAATTCACAAAAATGCACGTGCTACATTTTTATATTCGGCAAGGAAAGATGATGTAATCGGCATGATTGTGTTACGTTATACATACGTGTACATTATATTGTTTTATATTAGCCATTTTTTCCTCAGTTGGCTGACAGCGTTGATGCAAGATGTCTCGAAAGTGTGTAAACAATCCAGATCAGTTTTGTTACGTGTGTGGTGATGTGACTTTTGCGTCTCAGAGACGGTCTATTACTCCACTAATAACAAAGACATATCAGCTTTATTTCGGTTGTAAACTAGGTGATCAAGACAAACTGTGGGCACCCCACATCTGCTGTAATACATGTGCTTCAAGTCTGAGGAGCTGGTTAAATGGCAAAAAACGGTCTATGCGCTTTGCTGTCCCAATGGTTTGGAGAGAGCCTACAAATCATATTAATGATTGTTACTTTTGCATGGTACCTTGTGTTGGACAAGCCACAGGTATGTCCAAGAAAAAAAAATCGGAACTTGTTAGAAGACGATGTTTCGGTATGTGTTTTTCGTAAACGCCACAAAGACTTAGAACCATTTTTCAATATGGAGAATAACTTGGTTTTCTGCAGTAACATTAACGGCTTACTGGCGGCTTTAAATATAAAATATAACCCAGAAGAATGGAGATTGTTTATAGACAGTTCAACATTGAGTTTAAAGGCAGTGTTATTGCATATTGGAAATATTTTACCATCTCTTCCTGTAGGGTATGCAGTTCACATGAAAGAATCATATGACAATATCAAGTACCTATTGACATGCATAAAATACGATGAGCACCAATGGCATATTTGTGGCGATTTGAAAGTTGTTGCACTTTTACTTGGGCTGCAGCTAGGCTACACAAAGTTTTGCTGTTTTTTGTGTGAATGGGACAGTCGGCCAAAGACACCAGACAAAACTGGCCTGTTCGTCAATTCCTAGAGCCAGGTCAAAAAAATGTACAGCATATGCCATTAGTAGATTCGAAAAAAATTTTATTACCACCACTGCATACCAAGTTGGGCCTAATGAAAAACTTTGTCAAGGCATAAGATAGAGATGGGTCAGCTTTTCAATACCTGCGTCAGAAATGTCCAAGACTAAGTGAGGCAAAGGTTAAAGAAGGTATTTTTGTTGGGCCACAGATTCGAAATATTTTGAATGATACTCAGTTTGAAAACACTTTAACAGGTATTGAAAAAACTGCTTGGAATGATTTCCGTCTGGTGGTCACTAATTTCTTGGGAAATAGAAAAGCTGACAACTATAAAACCCTTGTCAAAAATATACTGTCATCGTATCAAAAGATGGGCTGTAATATGTCTCTTAAGATACATTTCCTACACTCACACCTGGACTTTTTTCCTGACAATTGCGGAGCCGTAAGTGATGAGCCCGGCGAACGTTTTCATCAGGATATTTCAACAATGGAAAAAAGGTACCAGGGAAAGTGGAATCCTTCCATGCTTGCAGACTCCTGTTGGACTCTTGGTAGAGATGCTCCAGAAACGATCCATAAAAGAACAGCAAAAAGAAGATAGTGATTCTTATAAGTATATGAATCTTGTTACTTTTTTTAATATATCCTTAAAAATAAAAAGTTTTTTTTCTAAACCGCAACTATTTTTTTTATTTCATTGTCATTTTTGGATTCAGCGCCCCAAAATTAACAAAGAAGTGCACTTTTCCCACAAGATACAATTAAAAAACTAAAATTTGTTGTCCAGTGTTATAGGTTGCCCAGCATTTACATCATACACCATATGGCTTGAATTTACTAGTTCTAAGTTGTTTATAATTATTCTGTTTATGTAGCCAAATGTCCTAAATAAATCTTTCTACTACTATTACTACTATCTAGCGGTCACCAGGTGACTGGGCTATTAAACGTTAGCTGAGATCCCTAACAGTTCCAACTTTGCTCTGCGTTGTCTTCCGAGTTACCTGAGTCCATTTTATTTCCCGCGCCAACTGGTGAGGGAGTTCAGTCACGAAAAATTTCGAAAATGGGATATTTGTTTTTTGGATGTTTCATGACATATACAAGGAGAACCAAACTTGTCTGACGGCTTGAGTTCGATGTGTACGAGAGAGAGGTGTATATAGACACATTCGAGTATGTTAGACAGAGATAGGTAGAAGCAGCGCCACCTTCAACTAACGAGCCATGAAGAGAAAAAGGCAACACCGCATCATGGCATTTTGGGGTCCGGCCGTCCAGCTGGTGTGTGCCGTTATTAAGGCGCGTTTTCACGGGTCGATCTGAGTCGAACAATTTGTGTCGAACATTGAATCGAAAGCAAAGTGGTGTCGTTTTTATTTTTGGTCAACATACATCGCCTATCGTGTAAACCTTTTTGCTTTCAACTCAGATCGAACCATGGTCGAATAACCCAGGTGGTTCAACTTAGATCGACCCGTGAAAACGCGCTTTTACAGAAACTTCGATTCGAGCATTTTTTTGATGAATCTCAAATTTACGAGTACAAAGTACAAAACAATTTCACTAAACATAAGTTCAAAATCGAAATTACAGAATGTGAATACTCTATGCGAACCCTAGAGAGGGAAATTCACAAGAATACTAATTATGTAGTGCTTCTTATAACTAAGTTGTTTGCTGGCAGACGTATACAGGAGTAGAATCGTACTTGAGATGTATAAATGAGGTATTGCATTACCACACCAAGTTACCAATTTATATCGGGAGGTTTTGCCAAGAGCCATATATCTGTGGTACTAAGGCAAAACCCAATATGTCAAAAAATATTGATTTTTTGTTTTTAATGTCAATATGTACACCAAATGACGAAGTATTCTATGGCAAGACCCGATATAATTTATAAAATTTCCGTAACACTCTAAATTAATGTTATTTTTTTAAGGAGGAGCTTAAAATTTAAAAAAAAAATTGGAATTACTAAAAAAATTATATTCAGAATAAAGATAAGAAATAAATAAAATACATAACTGGAAACAAAACAAAAAACAGTGTACAAACTA